GTAGACACATAGCACATGCCGATGAGGCCGTGACCCGAACCAGGGAGGACTGAAGCCTCCATAAACTGGTCGCACTCTGCTGCTACGTCACCCGCCACACTTGCCATTAGCATGTTTTGCAAAACTAATACTTTTGGTGAAGGTCTCTTTGCTTTTATCGCTCTTTCCTAATGAGAAAGCTTTGAATAGGCCATTGGTTAATATGAAACCAGCTAATACTGATTTGTAGAGAGCAGTAGGAAGGATTTCTAAATACAGAGAGATTTCAGCTACTTTCTTGGTTTTCTGGGACTTTTTGCACATCCTGTTTTCTTATAAATTAAAAATGTAAACAAAGAAAAGTGTTGACATGTTCAATAGATTCAATTTCAAAGTGTCAGGGCTGTGTGTTTAAAGTGTGATAACAGTGTGTGCTGAGGGCTGGAGGAGAGGATGTGTGTGTTTCAGGCACCAGAGTCAAGTCCTTATTATGATGAAGAGACGAGGAAGAAAAACCAATCACAGCTTGCTCTCTCCCAACTCGGTGGAGAAGAGAGAAATTGCTATACCCTCAAGGAACATCAATTGACTTGGTCCAAACGCACACATACACACCTGCACACACACTCACACATGCAGACAATGCTCATTCTGATGGAACACACCTCTACATGATGGCAGAGAAGCTTTACAATCAGAAAGTTTCTTCCAGCTCTGCTCAAAGAACCATGGTTTTCAGTAATTGCACTCTGAAACTGCTGCAACAGCACACTAAGAAAAACCCCCATCCCCACACTCGGCCATTTTCGAGTGTTTGTCTGGAGCTCAGCAGTTTCATTTATGCCTGTTTATGTCTGTGGTTACAGAGCTGTGCGCATAAATTGACCGCTGGGTAGTGTTGTTTTTATGACTTCATAAAGGAGCTGCAGCCTCCCACAGGATTTATATGTCGGTATGTTTGTGTGTTCTGTCGCAGGCCACGGGTCAACCGAGCTGCTGCAGTTCCTATTTACTGTGCACTGCATGCACACATGTGGACTATCTCTCTGTGTGGGTTGGTTTACAGTTTTCGAAGCGTTATGTTTTATCTTTCAAGTGAAGTCCCAGTGCCGCTCAGAGCACCGTAGCATTGACTTTGATTTTGTGGCACAATTCTAACAGCTTCCTTCAGGGAAAACCAGAGCGGTGGTAAGAGTAAGATCCACCCTATACAGCATTTACAGAAGAGGTTCAAGTAATATTTCTGTAAAATCACCTTTATAATATAAAAGAATTTTCATATAATTTTCTACCTAATAATTGAAATTATTGTTTGAAGCAATTTTTATGTTATTTCAGCATTTTTTTTCCTTTCAAAATGTAATTTTTTAAAAGCCAGCTTTTATAAGGGTGATTTTTTTTCCCCATGGCCATTTATTTCATAATATCGCTTTACAACTGAATGACTATGAGCCAATCAGCGTTAACAGGCTGGACCCGCATCCTCATTGGCTGATCCTTGCATAGAGATTGGTTTCCTGATTGTCATGTCAGTTTTGTCATGATAAGTAGAAATTATTTCAAAATCTTAATAAATCCTTCACAGAAGAGTGTGGTAACATCAGTCACTGATGAACACATCCCTGCCATCCAGTTCTAGTCCCAGGTTTACATGCATCCATTATGGGCAGCATGATCTGTTTCGAAATGCTGCTGATGGTTCTAGAACGTCTCCTAACAGGACAAGGCCATGGCCATTTGGTTGCTAGTGAGTGGTTATGACTGAGTACAGCTGCTAGTTTCTCCTTGCAGCATTGTTTAACGGCAGCCATTCGATTGACCAAAACTGAAAACATTAGGAAAGTCCAAAGAACATATAGAGTATCGAAGAGGGAGAATGTCATGACTCCATCACAGCAGATTCCAGGATCATCAGTTCAAACTGCTGTGCATAAGTTCATGTTATTCAGAGGTGTCACCACTCTGCCAAGGTCTCGTGAAGACCCTAACTGTCCATGCTAGATAAAAGTAAATTTGCATATTTAGGAACAACCAGGGCACAAGCCCGCCACGACATGGAAAGTGCTGGAACATCAGTGTTGATGTCCACAGTTTGAAGAATGTTTGGATTTCTCCTGATTCTTAAATAGGTTTTCAGATGATGTTATAAAGCCTCATCTGAAGAGAATCAACCTTAATGTCTCTATCCTGAATAATTTCTCACCTTCTTTGCTTCTGTCCTACAGCACAGGAAGCCCCCCCTAGTCTTCTGGAAAGGACCTTCTGTTGTTACCGTTTTCTCAACGTACTGTAACTTCAATGTTGAAATCAGGTCTGTGGCTCTCTGGAATGCTGCTCATGAAAATGTTGGGAAGCAATGTACTCTTCTGATCTATAGTGATTAATGTTTAAATAGAAACAGTGAACGTCTTTGGTCAGAGTTACAGAGAACCAGGCACTGAGGACCTTCATGTGGTTCTGGAACCACAGCCTCCAGAGCCACATGGACTAAAGATTGACTCATGTCTAAATCAGCTCTACCTGCAGTCTGATATAATTGGTTTGACAATAGGAAACATGTAATGGTGACAAAAAAGCAAAACCATAATTGTAGAGAAGCTGATCTTCATTCTTTACAGCAGATTGAAATGCAGAGTAAAATATCTCATGTATAAAGATTTTACTTGACTTTATGGCATTGCATGTGGCTAATTTTGGTCAATGCCTCGCTGCTTTAGGCGAGCTCTTTGATTTACTGCAACTGAATGAGCCGTGCTTCCAGTCGGAGAGCTGATGTGTCATTGAGATAGTTTTTGTCTATTGTACTGCTGATAAGGTGGCTGTGTCACCGCAGTTTGCAGCATTATTCCTGTGATAAGAAAGCAGCGAGGGGAGACATTTTCCTCAAAAGAAGACAGCAATGCTATCAGTGGGTGGGGAGAACATTAGGGGAAGAATACATTGGACAGGAGTACATGTCTTAACACTGTGGCTGTGGTGGAGAAGATGAAGGAGGTGAATAGGTCAGAGCCAGACTAATCAGTGATACCCCTGGGTTTTATGTGTTTGCCAGGAGAGTTTTAGTCACACATCAATTCAACCACACAGATGTTTGGTTGGATATATTAGCTCCTTTCAACAATTAGTTTGCTGAACCTTATTCAAGGTTATTTAGGGTTACTTATTGTTAAATTACAACTGATTAATAGAGAAGGTACTGCATGTAACAAACCTCAACTCTGAGGAAAGTGGAAAATTCTTCAGAAGCAAACAGTCATTTTATCAAAATTAAAAGGTTTACTCAGATCTGGATGCAGCTTCCCCACAGTGCAACTGTGAAAACGATCAGAAGTGGAAACGAAAGTGAGAGACGTGCAGAGAGCAGGGATGTGTTATACAGCTGGAAGTGCTGTGTGCAACAGAGAAAAAGAAATATCCGGATGCACCTCCCACAGAGCGCTCCTTTTAGATCGAAGGACTCTTTCCTCCACAGTTCTCTGAAGTGGAAATGAGTTTGTTAGATGACCACAGTGGTCCCTTGTTGTATCAGCCTGAGCCATTGCCTCTGCTTGCTGTCAGACACTAAGTGGGAGCTGAAGTAAGTGAAGGTGTAAGTACGGTGATCCCACTTCCTGGGGAAAATATACAGCTCAGTGATGCTTCTTGTTGTTATTTTTCTTCTTTGTGTATCTTGGCACGGTTCTGTGCTTGCCCACCAGGCAAGTTTTTATTGACACACACTTTCTGTTTGGTGTTAAATTGTTTAAGTTGAAGTGAAATCATGAGCCATTGGTGTGAAGGTCCAAGTCAGAATCTGAGTCATTTGTCATTTTATCAAATCGAGTCTTTAGTCATTCAATTTGTGACTCAAATCTGATTTGATTCCAAGTCAGATGACTCAGGTCAACACCATTACCTGATTATTTCTACTTCCCAGTATAATGAACATTAACAAGACCAGTGTCTCAGAAAATTGAGTTGTTTGGGCAACATTGAAGGTATTTGGAGCAATGCCATCATGTTCAGATCTCACTTATATGAAATTTGAATCCAACAAATGCTGCTTTAGAGGAACAATGTATGGATCTTTAGGAGGATCTTGAAATAAATTATAATATTCAGAAAGAGAATGAAAACAAAGCAAAACAAGTCAAGTTAAATCCTTTATCGAGAAGAAGAGCAGAATGTATGATCCATATAACCCAATGAAAAGATCATGTCACAGCAGGAAGCCAAGAGATCAATATTAGCCTTTAGATGTATAGAACGTTAGAACGTTAAGTAGACATCTCAACAAACAAAGAAACAGAAATGTTTGAGGCTAATATAAACAGCAGCAGACAAGAAGCACATTTTCTTCAGGTGGGAACATCTCTAAATTCTTTACAGGTTTTGACCAACATTTTGTCAAGATGATGCAAAAACTTCTGCAGGCCAATGAAAGAATTTAAGTTTGGAAGCCATTTTAAAGGAATGCTTCAAACATTATATGTTAACATTCAGCAGGTAGTTGCCTGGGAGGAAGAATATCAGACAAAAACCTACATAGAAATGGGTACATGGTCAGGAAATCCGTGGTCACTTTGAATTCTTTATGTATCACTTGAAGCTGTTAGTTAATCAATTATAAATCGCTCCTAAATCGAGCCAAGGCCACAGTGGGTCATTCTGTCATTCAATGGTGGAGATAATGGAGGACACACTGATTTACATGCAAACTCTTGGTTCCTGCACCTTTAGGATCCATCTCTGCTTCAACTCACCTGACTCAAATAATTAGCTCATTAGCAGGTCTCTGTAGAACATGACTGCATGCAAAGGAGGCAATTTGGCCATTTGATGCTTGTGTGCAAGAATACAGACGCACCTAAAGGTTGGAGACGATTGTCCCTTGAGGGCTAGTTGGAGTTTTAGCCCCCTGCTAAAACGTTAACCTTAAAAATATAGATTTGATTGTTTTCCAACACATCTATATTTTCAAGGTTAACAGGTTTCAAGGTTAGCAGGGGGCAAAATATAGATGTGATTGTTTTCCAACAGGCTGCACGGTGGCGCAGTTGGTAGCACTGTTGCCTTGATATGAGTGGCTGCACGGTGCTCAGTTGGTAGCACTGTTGCCTTGCAGCAAGAAGGTCCTGGGTTCGATTCCCGGCCGGGGGTCTTTCTGCATGGAGTTTGCATGTTCTCCCCGTGCATGCGTGGGTTCTCACCGGGTACTCCGGCTTCCTTCCACAGTCCAAAGACATGACTGTTAGGTTAATTGGTCACTCTAAATTGCCCTTAGGTGTGTGAATGGTTGTTTGTGTGTTGCCCTGTGATGGACTGGCGACCTGTCCAGGGTGGACCCCGCCTCTCGCCCATAGACTGCTGGAGATAGGCACCAGCTCCCCCACGACCCACTATGGAATAAGTGGCAGAAAATGACTGATTGACTGTTTTCCAACACCTGGAATAAATGTTGTTTACATATCTGGGTTTAGGTTCTTTACTTCTATTACTTAAGTGGCTGAAACTTATTATTCTTCTGTGTTTTAGAAAACAGAGGATGATATGAGATGATGGCAACCCTTGCCAACGTCAGTCCCAGCTCGATAATCTTTTGTAAACAAGAATATCTTGCTTGTACCATCTTCATCAGTTTAATGATTGCCCTGGAAACCCCAGCAGGACACTGTAAGAGATTTGATTCGGTGCTGCAGGCCAGTATTTGGAATAATAAATGCCTCTAAAAAGTTGGTCAGTCCTCCAGTTGGGCTTGGCCAGATTTATGTCATATAAGCAGGATTGTGTATTGATTGTGTATTGTTAACAAAGGACTATTTTTAGCATTTCTATTCACAGACCTCCTCATCCCTGACAGATCTGGTCAGAAATGTGAATTATGACTCAAATGTAACCTATATGCTGCATGTTTTCAGAGCTGTAGCCAACTAATCACGTTTTATTGGTATTTATTCTAGAACCTCTGGGGTATGGACCAGTAACCATCAGTTATCAGGGGGAAACCTGGGTAAACGAAGGCATCACAACCCAACAGGATATGAATGGTATTTCTCAACCTTCCAAGATTTTTTACACTGCTAAAGTTGAATCAGGTCATTCATTTCACCAGCTTCATATGACTCGTCTGTCTCTGTAACCTTCTCAGCTGTCCTCAATCAGCGTGTCCACCTTGACCAATCTCTGAACTCCCTTTTCTCTCTAAATGCCTGAAGAACCTTGTGATCCTTGTTCTTCTGGGTTTAACTGCCGCCTATCATACTGTTAGCCAAAGTATTCTCATCTCTCATCTCGAATGGTGCATTGGGGCCAAAGGTGCTGCATTGGATTTGCTTCAACCATACCTGAAAAACAGAAGTTTCTGTGTGAATGTAGAGTTTTCATTTTATTTCCACTTTTTATTTATTTGGTGTCCCTCAGGGGTCAAACTTAGGGTCTTTTCCCTTTTGCTGTATCAGCTTCCATTGCTATGCTGATAACTGCTAGGTTTACATGTAACTAACTCCTCTCCTTCTGCCTTGATGACTTTAAGGTGTGGAAGGCTCTAATTGTTTCTAATTTCAGTAAAAAGAAAAAAGAGGTTTTTCTCTTCAGTTTTAACAGCATTTTTGACAAATCCACAATCAACTTGGATTCTCTCCAACCGGGCTTTCAACAATCTGTAACTAATTTGGGTCTCATCATGGACTCAGGTCTTAAGTATTACAAAATAATTCTCTGTTATGCAAAAAAATGTATTCCAGTTGAGCCACATTGCTAAATGGAAGCCAGAGTTGGTTATGCAAGAGCTTGAGAAAATGATCATGCATTTATCACTGTCCATATTAGGCAAGGCAAGTTTATTTGTACTAAACATTTTAGCAACGAGACAATTCAAAGTGCTTTACATGATGACAAAAAACATTAAAGAAGTACTATTAACTATATCTTGTTAATGTACTTTCTACTGGACTCAGTCATGAATGTCCTACATCTCCAATATCTGTCTGAAGTTCTTCAGCCTCATGTTTCCTCACAGGTGCAAATATGACCAGCAGCTATTGGCTGCCCCAGGGACCAGGTTCAGGTCCTCAGTATGTCAGACTCTTCACTACTAAACCCACCCTCCTCTTCCTCTGACTTGCTCAATTCCTAAATATTCTACTTAATCTCCTGAGACCATAACAAATAAACCAGTAAATATGGACTAAACCTGTCCCTCATTGGTTTAAAACAGAACAGGCAGGTTGTCAAACAAGGGGCGAGTCTGTTCTCATAGGATTCTTTATAATTACTAAGGTAGAGTACGTGTTTTGCCATACACTAAGTGTATGGTGACTTTCTAATTAATATTGGAGACTATATCTAGTTCAGTAAAAACTAGAACTTTGCCAGCCCAGTGGGCTCTGCCTAACCATTTACAAGAACTGGGCTTTTATTTTTCATTCTAGTCTTTAGTTTCCTGCTGATATAAAAAGACAGCTGGGGCTGTGATTTACTGTTAAACCCGCAGCTTTTCCGATTCAACAGAGCATGATTCTGTGATACGTTCTTCTTCCCTCAGAGCTCTTTGAATTTCAAACCAAGTGATGAAATCATGACTCAACACTGTTCCTGCAGCTTTACAAACTATTTCTATGAGGATAAAATAAACTTTGCCGACTCTGTTGCCCAGCAAGCATTTGTTGGCTTCGACCTCCTGCAGAAATATTTTAAAGATAGAATCCTTTAGAGCTGGATTCTTGGTTTATTTGAAAACACAAATAAAGGCTTCATTAGCAGACCTGCAACAGAGAAAGCTAATTGTGTATTCTCTCATGCTTTTGTGTTGCTTAAAGAAGAAGAAATGTCAATTTTTGGCCTTTTTTTGCAAGCAGTCAGCAGCTGTGCTCTGATCTCACACTGTGTTCGTGTCCCAAGTAATTTTCCACACGTTAGCATGGAACAGTTCAGGGAGCGCTTAGCCCTGCCATAAGAGCTCAGTTTCAATGTTTTTACTTTGGTTTCACACTTTTTATCAGGAAATATGACAAAATAAAAGCATGAACACATGATACCAGCAACAGTACCAACATGACAGCAGGAGAAATTATGTTAAATGATGATTTCAATCTGAAAAGACTCACAAAGAGAGGGTTGGCAATTAGAAAAGTTTTAATGATGTGAAATTACATAATTATATCTTTAGCGCTCGGACCTGGGAGGAAGACATGAATGTTGAGAATGATATGAGCTAGGATGAACATTGTAAAGCTTATATTTAGAGATGTCTTCCCCCTGATCCGACACTGGTGGTGGATTGGCGGCCAGGGAGCGAGGAAGCCAGGAGTAGATGGGAAGGAAGATGGTGGAGGTGGGGTGGAGGAGGGATGAGCTCAGCTGACAAGCGAGGAGGAACACAGCCGAAGGTCCTTTAAAAACAAGGTGTCGGAAGGCGATTGGATGATGAATCAGGCGGACAGGATGCTGATTGGAAGGCCGGGAGATGCACAGGGAAGTCATTGGACGGCGAGACGGCGAGGGTAAGTCTTTCATTCTGAATTTTTGTTAAACTCCATTTGTCTTCTTTGTCATGTGAAACCTTCACCCTGTCAAACTGCTTAATGTTTAAAGCTGTAAATAACACGGCTGAACAAAGACCTCATAGAGAATGTTTTGTTAGTTAAAAGAGTTCAGGCTATAAAATAACTATTGATGAGGAAGCTCTAAGCTGGTGATCAAAGGTGAAGGAGGCCTGCAGCAAAACGTCAGTATCCCAGAAGGACATGTTGCCTGCTGTTGATACACAACATCTAATACATTATCCATCATCCACACAAATTTTACATTTTACAGATGCAGAGTAAATGCAGCGTCCGCTAAGAAATTTTAAAAATTCATTCTAGCTAACCACTTTATTTGGACATATATCAATATTTCTTTGTTTTAGTGTTGTCCCTAATGGGTCGTTATCACTGAGTCCTGAAATGAAGGCATCTGGGTGCATCTTTGTCAAACTAAATCAGTTCCTAGCAGATTCCTCTGGTTTGGCTGGTGGTCGAGAAACCAGCAGTCATGTTGCAAAGCTGGTCGTTGATGTGACAACGTGTTAAATATGCTCTGTTTTTTAAATGCAACTAGACTTTAGTTCAGTGTTGTAAACCTTTTGGTCCGTTTACTTGGTAAAAGGCAATATTCAAGTGAGGGATTTGAGATCTCAGCAAAAATAAGGCTTGCTCTTATTGTTAAAACAAATCCGTTTATTAGTTACATTAGCTATAAAAGCAGCAGGACATTGCTGAACGATGATAAAGTTACAAATAAAACTTCAAGCTCAGACATCAATGTGGAATCCAGAGGCCACCTCAGAAGAAAGCAGGAACAGAGAAGTCTTCAACTTAAATGTCAGGTCAAACCACAACACTTCTTACGGTGATTTGGTTCTGATTAGTCTGTTTGCATATGTTCATAAAGCGAAGCATGAGGAAATAAAACCTGTATTCAGGTAATTAATGAGCTGTCATTTATTCATCCAGTTCAGTTAATGCTATCAGCCTTTTTGCGCAGTGAACAGATAATGTTCAAAAAGCATGCTGGCTCTGCTGACAGGTGATAGCTCCTGCCTCACTGTTCATTATGGACCATCTCTTCCTGTTCCAGAACTGATTCTTCACAGATTTCTTCAGATTAATTCACATATTTTTTTGCTGTGGGGAAGCAACCCATCCAAGCACATGAAGACCTGTTTCTTTGAGCCCGGGTGGCCTGTTGGGTTTGGAGTGAGACCCAGTAACACGGTTGTGGAAAGCTCTTCTGAAATCAATTTGTTCCCATTTGCCTCTGAGACTTCTATCTTCAGCTGATACAGAACTATGTTTTATTCATGGTCAAGGTGGGATTTAAAACAGAGAAGTCAGTGTTTGTGCAGATATCCATTTTACTAATTAATTGGTTAATTGTGGCACAGTTAGTAGCACTGTGTCCTTGCAGCAAGAAGGTCCTGGGTTCAACTCCAGGCCTTTCTGCATGGAGTTTGCATGTTCCCCCCGTGCATTCGTGTGTTCTTTCCGGGTACTTTGGCTTCCTCCCACAGTCCAAAGACATGCCTGTTAGGTTAATTGGTCACTCTAAATTGCCCTTAGGTGTTAATGAGTGTGTGCATGGTTGTTTGTGTGTTGCCCTGCGATGGACTGGTGACCTGTCCAGGGTGTA